CAATGGGCTCAAACATATCAACAATTATGAGGATGGTGCAGGACTGGCAGCGTTTCATTCTGTTGTACATAGGGTTGGTATGAGTCGGAATCGGCTCGAGGACACCTAACAACTACAATAGCAATTTAAAATTTATTTTAAAAGCAATTTTCCTATTTAACAAATAATGTATGCTATCTGATTTACATAAATTCTTACATTAATTTTATAAGAAAAAAGGCATGATTGGTCAATAACACAAATATATTTTGGGACCAAAATGTGTACTAAAACAAAGATTTGAAATTAAATCCATGTTATAGAATGAAAAATAAACAAAAATACCTTCATGATACTTCTGCAACTCTTGAATTTTGAATGTAAAATTCAACTGTTACTTTCATAACTTTCTAGTTTTGTCTTTAAATAATGAAATAAAAGATTGCAGGCTTCTATTTTCAAGCATTTCTCTGAATATAGTGAATGGTGTGAATTCCTCAAACACGAATGTCAAATTAGATAAAATCATCACTGTACTTCTTTTTAACACTGATTTTTAGATAATTAAGATTTCTATTAGAAAAATGGAACTTATGGATTTGGTAAACATAATCCTGAGGCTAGTTTATAGAATTATTATTAATTTTAAACTCATTATTAATCAATATTATTAATCAATAGTCTGATGTCTTTAGACGATGGTATTTTGTATATAATTTAAACAATATATTATTATAAGAAAGGAAAAGAAAAACAATGTGAAACTGTATAACTAACCAAACAACCAGGACTACTCGTGGTTGGTGACACAGAAGTTGACTGTCGTACATGAAAACACAGGAGTGCTCTCAACGGATCTGCACTGATTCTGTGTGTACTGAGGGGCTCTCACACTGTTCTATTTTCTGCGGGGCAGGGGGGATATGGGAATAAATACTCATTATTTTAAAATAGAAATAGAAAAAGATGCTATTATTATCTTTAACATCATGAATTCCCTGGACCACCTTTGTGGATCCCAAGGATTCCAAACCACCAGTTGGGAAATTTGACTTTAATGGATAGTCACTATTGGCATTTGATACACCCACATCTACTCTAACTTAAAATAAAAAAATTCTTGTCCTAAAATCCCCCTTCAGATACATGCCCCCACTATCAGTTGTTCCATTCGTCTCCCTCTTTCCTGCTTTCCATTACAGCTAAACCTCATGAAAAAGCGGTCTAAATTTGCTATTTCACATTTTTCAATTCACACTAACTTGTCAATTCACTCTAATCTGGCTGCTACACCCACTCTTCTATTAAAAATATTTTCATCAACGTAATCAAGGGTGACCAAATCACTAAGAGTCGACTTTTCAGTCTTCTTACTTAATCACTCAGCAACATCTGGTTGATCACCTCCTCTTCCTGAAGCAGTTCCATCCTTTGGCATACACGATAACATGTTCTTCTAGTTTCCACTTATTTCTCATATTACTTTTTCTCAGTCTCATTTGCCAATTCCTACCTTGCCTTTAAAAACATTGGTGTTCTTTAGGGCTCAGCATGCCCTCCTTTCCTCTTCATTTATTTTTTTTCCTCTAGGTGATCTCATATACGTCCAAGGTTTCAAATATCCTCTATAGTCCAAATTTCTATCTCCAGCCCAAACCTGCCTTCTAAGCCTAGTCCCTTATGTTCACTACATTGTAAAGTGCACTTGAACATTAAATTCAACATGGTCAAAACCGAACACTTGGTCTCATCCCAAATGCAGGCCATCTCAACCACAAACCTATTTCTTCATTAGAATGCTGTCTAGAAAATAAACAATAGCACCCGAGAGGAATGTGTTCCTTAACAATCAATTATATAAGATCAAAAGGCCAACATTAGCCTGAAAGCAAAGATGAGGAGGCAGGAAGGGGTAGAAAATCTGGACGAAAGGAAACATGGAACTTAAGACAGAAATGGGGAGGGTGCTGACACACTGAAGGGAACGCAACCAATGTAATGGAAGACTTTATGTACAAACTACTGAATGGGAAACTAATTTGTTCTGTAAACTTTCACCTAAAGCACAACAAAAAAATTTAAAAAAAGAGGATGCTGTCTAGATAAGTGGCATCGCTATCCATCCATTGCTCATGCCAGAAAGCTGGTGTCATCCTTGACATGTTTCTCTTCTCTACCCAATCAATTACTAAGCCCTAATGAGTCTACCTTCTATATGTCTCACTAATCTATTAATTTCTCTCTATTACCATTATTATCTCCCCAGTCTAAGCCACTCAGCACTTGACTAGACTACTTCAGTAGCACCCTGATTGGTCTTGTGTAAATACTATGGCTCTTCTCCAATCCATTCTCTATTGAGGAGCTAGAATACTATTTTAAAAAGTAAATCCGATCATACCACTCTCCTCTGTTTTTAAAAAACCTCTTGACTTATTCCCATCAGTTATAGAAAAGTAAAAAGTCTGTATGAAAACTTAAAGACCCTGCATTTAGGTCTGCCCATTGCCCACCTCTCCAACCTCATTACATGCCGTTCTTTCCTTTATTCTTTATGTTAACCACAGTTTCTGTCTCTTCTTCAGAAGTACCATTCTCCTTCCCACCTCAGAACTTTTGATTTTACAGTTTCCTTTCTCTAGAACAGGAGTTGGTAAACTTTTTTTAGGAAAGGGCCAGATAGTAAATATTTTAGGTTTTGTGGGCCAAGACGCCACATACCGTGTCTGTCACAACTACTTAATTCTGCCACTGTAGTGTGAAAGCAGCCACAGACTATATGTAAATGAATGAGTGTGGCTGTATTCCTGGACCATACGAAATGGGCTGGGGTGTAGTTTGCCAATTCGCACTAGAAGGCTAATAATCCTAATCCCTCCCCCATCACTTACAGACTCTTTTCGAGTGTCATTTTTTCATTGAAGTACTGATCATTACTATAATTAATATCTGTGAAATTCTTTTGTCAAAATCCATCTTCCTTATAAGATTATAAGCTCCATTAGAATAGGAACACTATCTACTTTGCTATTTTATTCCTAGTACATGGTGAAGAGTATGGCACATAGTTGTTGGGGTTAGGTGCCCTCGAGTTGATTTTCAACTCATAGCGACCGCATGTGACTGAGTAGAATTGCCCCGTAGGGTTTCCTAGGCTGTAATCTTTACGGAGCAGATTGCTAGATCTTTTCTCTCGTAGAGCTGCTGGGTGGGTTCAAACATCCAACCTTTCAGTTAGCAGATGAGCACTTAACCATTGTACCACCAGGGCTCCTTGGCACATAGTAAACCAAAACCCGTTGCTGTCAAGTCAATTCCGACTCATAGCGATCCTATGGGACATAGCAGCAATAAATAAATATTTGTTGTATGAATGAATCATTAATTTGCTATCTGACCTTCACTTGGCAAATATATCTTTTTGAGCCTTATTTTCCCATCTGGGAACAGACATGATAATAATAGCTATTTCCAAGGTTTATTTTGAGGTACACATGATTACATATGTGAGTGAGCATATTTTATGAACTTTAAAGCAATACATAAATATAAGGAAAGAAATATTAAAGAGATGACTTAGTTGCCTAGTACAAGGGCAAACTGGCCCAAGGGCCAAATCCTGAGGCTTGTTTTGCTGACCTTCTAGTTAAAAATGGTTTCTAAATTTTTAAAGCATTGTTAAAATGTGACAAAAACCATATGCAGTCTGCAAAGCCTGAAATATTTACTCTTTGCCACTTTATAGAAAAAGTTTGCTGACTCCTGGCCTAGAACAGTGTCTGGCCTTAAGTAAATGTTTTAATGAGTGAATGAATAAATTACTTTGCAAATATACTTGTATTTAACATTTTGATAACGGAAAAGTGGTGCCATTTTCTCACTGCCTTTCTTCTATTCAATACAGCACATAACTGAAGTTGTAAAAATAAGCACCCCCACTCTATGTTTACTTTAAATTAAAAAAATAGAATCCCGAAACATTTTTATCTCCCATGAACTATATCAACAACTATTTCTGAAACAGAGAAGGCACAGGATGGCTGGGGAATGGGGTGGAGATGGGAACTGGAATCCAAGAAAATCATCTCCATTGGAAGGTTGGTTGACGGCTGTTATGTATGCGATTGTCTGTAGAATCTACAGAAACCAATTCATTGTATGCCACAAAATCCTGAGATTATTTTTTTCTGGAGAATGCATCATTACAGAAAAATTAGAAATGACATACGTATAAGAAAAAATAAGTTACTGTGTTTATTAAAAAAAAAATAGTGCACAAAAAGGAAAGGAATTTAGAGTCAAAAGATCAAGATTCAAGTCTGAACTTCACCACTTCATCTGTCACTTGGAGCAAATTCCTTAGTCTCTTTGAGCCTGAGTTTCCTCATCTACAAAAAGAGACTAATGATTGACATCTTTTAGTAGGTGGCTAGTATGAGTCAGGTACTTTACGTATGTCTGTCTGATCTTTATATCAAACTACAAAGTAGACATTACCCTCAATAAGTAGATGAAGAAACTAACACTCAGAGAAGTTAAGTGATTTGCTCGAGGTAACACCACTGGAAAGAAGCAAAGGGTTTGGAGTCAAATCCTGGCTCTAGTAATACCATCAGTACAACCTCTAATAAGGTATTTTACCTCTTTAGACCTAGTATATGTTTTATCTTACAAAAAGCACACAAAATGTAATTTCTAGAACAAAAGTTTTAAAATTCCTCCATATTACAATATTAGCAACTTATACCTTAAAGGTAAATGGTTTTCCTACAGTATTCTATATTAAGTCTAATTCTATGTCTTTAGAGAATAGTAAAGTGGGGGCATGCTGTCCTCTCCGTATATAATAAGAACAAGCTAAGTTAAGGAAGCATGAATACATAAAATAAAAGCATTGAGATTTTGCATATTGAGTAGCATAATAAGCAATTCTATTTATTCCACAGCAATTCCAGTTCTGTTTATGAACCAAACACATTCAATATGGGGCAATAAAAAAAAGGTTATTAAACCTTTATTACCTTTGCTTCATTATCTCATGTACTCGCCCATGCTGGACACACTGGTCCTCCAATTCGTCATTTCTTCTCCTTAACTTTTCCAGTTTGTCATACGTATACCTTTTTTCTTGACTGAGCTGAGCTATTTCAGATCTAAAGAGGTGGAAACATGGAAATGATAGATGTAAAAGTTTTTTATTACTAGAGCATACTTATTGTATAACCTTAACATTATCCTAAATTCCACGCTTAAACATAACAATGTAAACAAAATTATTTTATGTCAAAAGAAAATTTTCAGAAATTACAAAAAGCCTAGTAGGGTATATGAATTGTAGGGACTCAAGTTATATATACATATATGTATGATACATATATATGTATATATTTATTTATTTATATGAAAATATGATATACAAAAACATCATATTATCATATATTATAATATCTTTTATTATAAAATAATAAAATGTAATATTAGATGGTGGTACAGTGGCTAAAGTGCTCAGCTGCTAACTGAAAGGTCGGCAGTTCGACCTCACCAGCCACTCCAAGGGAGAAAGATGTGGCAGTCTGTTCTCATAAATATTTATAGCCTTGGAAACCCTATGGGGCAGTTCTACTCTGTCCTATAGGGTCACTATGAGTCAGAATTGACTTGATGGCAATGGGGTTGGTTAAGTATTAGATTAATAAATAACAACTTACTCTAATAAAGATGGCTTTTCCAAGGAAAAACACAGAAGTGATAATGATCAAATCCCCCCTTTTAAAGGCAATCGTTCATTTAACAAATATTTACTGAGTGCCTATGATAGGACAGTCATCATACTGTTAAAGAGCAATCCTTGGACTAATTTCTATAACAGAGAGTTGTTACTCTTATTTAACCTAGCTAATCTAATGGCACTTTGTTAAATCAAATACAGTAGTCCTTTGCCCTCTGACCCCTAAACCAGCTAAACAGCAACAAATGCTTTCAATTTTTTTAAAACTATTTCTTCTGCTATTTACTTCCATATTTATAAATATGCTAATACCACTATCTCTCATTCTATTAATTAAAATTTTTCTACTGACTCAACATGGGAGATGAAGTTAAACTCTTTTATATGCCCATTCCCTTTCCTCCATCACCATTTTGCCAGTGTAATTACCAGTATGTCACAGTTTGGGATTATATCATAATCAGTACTTACATTATAATAACTACATAAATATTGCTCCTTGCTATCCAAGGAGTGTATTATCATTGCATTTGTATGTGTGTATGTTTTTTTTCCAAATAAGTGGGCTTTAGCATAGGGTAACTGAGTGGTAAGCCATCTTTTCCTATGGGAGATTTCAGAATATCAGTATCTGTAATTCTTTCCTCTCTGACCACTCAAGAGAAGGATCCCTCAGTTTCCTGCTTGTTATATTCAACCCTGGCTGTAAGCAGTCTAGGGGAAAGGGAGGATGGGAGATCCCACCTTTCAGAAGGCAGACTTCCAATTACTTCCTCTATTTTAACTTCCGTGCCCTATTTTGAAGGAGCCCTGGTGGCACAGTGATGAAAATGCTCGGCTGTTAACCAAAAGGTCAGCAGTTCGAACCTACCAGCTGCTGCTCAGGAGAAAGATTTGGCAGTCTGCTACCATAAAGATTTACAGCCTTGGAAACCCTATGGGGAGTTCTGCTCTGACCTGTAAGGTTGCTATGAGTTGGGACCGACTCGAAGGCAATGGGTTTGGGATTCTTTTTATGCTCTATTTTAACCAGAACCTGCTGGTTTAATCTCTTCCAAGAGAAAGTCCCTAGACTTCTGGGCAAAGGAGGGACAGTCACCTGGTTGCATGGAATGGGGATAGAATCATCAGTTTTGGTTTCAGCCCGATGTCCGCACACTACCTTCCAAATTTTTCTGGAATTCTGAGAGCAGATAAGCTTGCTTCACATATATGTATACCCCTCTGTAGACACTTAGGTTTCACTTTCCTCTACGCTGCTAAGTACCATTCCCCCAGCCTTCTTTCTGTCTTCACATATTTTATTTGGGATCACAGATTATCTCCTTTGGTGATGGCTGATGTCTCTCTGAAATACATTATCTCTTCAGTGTCTTGGATGATGAGTATCTTAAGTTTCAAAATTTGAAGATCAAAATATCTGTCCTTCTTCTAATTAAAGTCTAAATTGTTGTCCACTGCTGCCACTGCCAGCATCTCCTCATGCTTCACTGCCTTAGTGTTAGAATTGAAAGTTGAAAAATAAAACCTCTTGCATATTGTAATATAAGTAGTTTTCTAGCTTAATGACTGGGGATTTGTTGCCTGATTTTAAAGTCAGAGTCTTGATACATAATTATTTCTCTCCAAAGAAAGGATTACTCCCTTACGTGAGACAGTCTTCTCTTCTTGGTCAAGAAAGGATTTGGATTTGCTAAGGGAAATCTTACCTCATGAGTTGGTCATCCCAAGGACCAAGCTGCTTCACATGTATGGTATAATTTCTCACTTTAGTTCACCTGATTCCTCATTTTGTTTTCATCTTGGATCAAGTGTCATCTCGAAGGAAGCTTGCCCTGATTAATATCTCCCAGTTCTCATTATGTTAGCATATTTTTTGAAACTACCTCTAGCCTTTATGCATATGTTAGCTTATAATTTATTCCTTTGAATTATGTTTTATGCCTCATCTTTCTTACTAGATCATACATGGGCATTTCCAAGCTCAGATCAAGTGCTCAATCTACAGTTGTTATGTCTAATAAGAATTTACCCATATTTGAAACATCTAAATCAGTTAATAATGACTTACATTACTCCTTTCAAAATTGCAAACAATGTAAAAGAATTTGGGGGCATTTATAAGAAATTGTTAATTTAGTACTGCTCCAAGATTGGTACCTCCTATCACATCATGCACTAAACTAAATTCCAAAAGAAGAAAAAATATCCTTAAATCAGACTAGGAAAAGAATGTTTATCTGTTCTCAGGTACTTTACAAGCAAAAGGGGACATTTTAAAGTAAAAAATTACAAAGGGCAAAAATAGATTTTACAATACAAAAATAGAAAAGTTATACACATTAAAAAGTACAGGTTTTTATGAGAATGCTCATTGTAGCATTGTTTCTGGAAGTAACTTGCTCCTCAGTCCAATATCTGGAAACCTAATCCAGAAATCTATCACTAGAAAACTGGTTACATTATTTATGTAATAGAATATCAAGGTACCATTCTGATGATGTGGCTACTTATTGGTGTTATTTATTCACCTAAAATATGACATATCAGTAAGAAATGAAAAACATTAAAAATTAGCACATATAATATGATTCTAAGGAGCCCTGGTTGCATAGCGGTTACAGTGCTTGGCTGCTAACCAAAAGGTTGGCGGTTCGAACCTACCAGCTGCTCTTCAGGAGGAAGATGTGGCAAACTGCTTCTGTAAAGATTTACAGCCTTGGAAACCCTATGGGGCAGTTCTACTCTGTCCTATAGGGTGCTATGAGTTGGAATCGATTCAACAGTGGTGGGTTAATGTGATTCTATTTTATAATTAAAAAAATATTTTGACATGTATACCAAAATATTAATATTTATTATTTCTGGATGGTGGGATTAGGAATGGTTTCTCTTTTCTTTATTTATCCTCTTCCACATTTTCTAAATTTTTACAATGAACATATCTTGTATTTAAAACAAAAATAAAGTCATTTCGCTGTTTAATGAGAAACTATTTGTTCTGTAAACTTTCACCTAAAGTACAATTAAAAAAAAAAAGAATGCCATGTTACAGGTAATCACCAGGTGCTATGGAAGCCATAAGGAAAGATCCCTGTCCCAGGCATCCAAAGATGGTGAGCTCTAAGGATGAGTTCTCCAAGTAAATAGAAGTGGGAAGGGCACCGCAGGCAGAGAGTGGAGTATGCATGAAGCACAGTTCTATTCTGACACACATCGGGTAGCCATGAGTCAAAGTCAACTTGATGGAAACTGGTTTTATACATGTGTTAGAACTCATAAAACTGTATACCAAGAAAAAAGTTAATTTTACTATATGTTAATTAAAAAACAAAGCAAAACAAAAAAGAAAAATAAAGTCATTTTGATTTTGAAAAAAAATCATAAAATGAAAAGAACTGGGAAAACATTTATAAAATATAAGACCAACAAAAGCTAAAAGCATCATTAAATAAAGTGCTAGCCCCCTTCCCATGAAAATTCCAATCAAAAAACTGTACAAGGAATATGAAAAGATATTTATCAGAGAAGAAACACAAATGATCATTAAACATCTATAAAATATTAAATTTCACTGTTATTCAATGAAATGCATAATAAAACCAGATACTATTGTCAAACATTTATTACACGTCTACTCTATGCCAGATAGTGCAATCCATCCTTTACATCAATGATCTCAATTAACCCTACAAGGTGTTTATTTCTTTTTCTCTGCGAGGTAAATATGAGGTTTAGTCATTGGCCTACGGTCACCCAAATGGTGAATACCAAGCCCAGAAACAAATGCTGGTCTGTCCAACTCTAAAGGGGGTGTTGCACCCACTGAGAAATATTATCTCTCACGTATTTTTAATGTCACATACCAACATGGGTACATACATAAGGAACAGAACTTAGTGTAGTACTTGAGCAGAGTAATACACATTAACAGCCTTAAAAAAGGTTCATAGTCTTTGAACCAGCAATCCCCTTGTAGGCATTTCAACTAAGGGAATGATCAAAAATTCAGATTTATGTACAAAGTTATTATCATATTATTATTCATAACAATTAAAAATTGGGGAAATTTAAATGTCTAACAAATTATTATGCATATAAAATGATTCAATTAAAATTATGTTTCCAGAGTATGTAAAGGTGTAGAAAAATGCTCATTAGATGATACTAAGTGCAAAACGCAGGACATAAAACTGTATATATAGATAATCTCAATCAAGACATAACGTATGTGTATACACACAGTTAAATGCACATGGATAATGGCTAAAAGGAAATATGTTAACAGTCAACAATAGTTATCTCTGGGTGCTAATGTCACAGAAAATTTTTTCCTTAGTTCTTTGTATTTTCCCAGTTCTCTACATTGAGGATGTATTACTAATGTACACAAAAATATAATGTAAAGTACATATTACTACCAAG